AAAATGGGGTGAGGGATTGGATTACCACTGGGCATTTTTGCTAGTGAAAAAAAATGAATGTGATGGAAACCTACCATCAGCCAACCCTAGAGGGAAGGGGTAGCACCCAGCATCCCTAAGGCAGGGAAGCTTAGACCAAGATACTTCTTCAGACTCAGTTCAGCCTCCCCTGTCTTTGTGGACAGTGAGTCTGGTATCAGTATTTAGGAGAGAGCCTAGAATTCCTTGCCTGCTCCTGCCCTTCCCAGTCTACAGTCTGCACCCACTGAAGTTCCCAGGGAGGCATCCTCATACTAGACTCCCTCGGCTATAGGTTGTCAGCAGTTGAAAGACATTTCAAAACAGGGCTTCTCCACCTTTAGCTTCCTCAGGCATACTGCCAGTATTTTCACGTCCATGGATCACAATCCAGAAAACACCCCTCCCCATGTGACAGAACCCTCTGGCAGGGGGCCCCTCTGAGTGCTATGGAGGAGACATACAGCTTGATGTAGGAAAGCCTGATTGTCTGTGGACAAAGCAATGAGGACATTAGCAGCTGGCTCTAATTTTTTCTCAGGGGTAAATCTTGGGGAAAAGCCTGGAAGCTACATCAGTAAAGTAAAACAATCTTTGACGGAAAGGCAGATCTGAAATATATACATGGCAGAGCTGATTTTTCTGCTTCTCTTGGACTATGGGAATTTGAACTTCTGAAACAGCATCAGAGGAGCTTTTAGTACAAAAAAAGCTCACTGAACTTTTTCTTAGCAGTCCAGGTAGCAGTGATTTAGGCTTCGTGGGCCATGTGCTATGCAGTCACTCCAAATAATCTCTTAGAAAGAAGCCATTTGGAAAGGAAAAAGCCATTCTTGGCTTGTGAGTTGCACAAAAACTGCAGGTGGACCATAGATTCCTGATCCCTCTGCTACTTTCTTAGTGTAAATGTTATTATCTCTTGAAAGAAAAAAGGAACAAAACAGAAATTTAGCTATGGGTGAATTTAAATGTATAAAACATGACCTAAAAGAGTCCAAAGCACTTTGGATTGCTCCCATTATTAACAACTTAACCTAAGTATTTGTGAAGACAGGAAGGTAAAATGGGACTAGGGAGGCTTCAGGGTCTTAGGGAAAGTTTGGTTTTCTCTGACTTTATGGTTTCATAGTTGGTAGAAAGTGGACGAAGAAACAGCACGGATGTCAGGTTCTCAGGTTATATTGTTCCTCATCTGCTCCTCCGCACAACAGTTTACAACACCGTTCTCAGCAGACACTGGCAATAAAAATAATTGCCTTCTTCTAGCAATGAAGAAACAGTACTTTGAATGAGTGCATAGAAGGGCAGATACAGAACGTCTTCTTACAATGGTGATGCTGATAGCTCACTCGGGCATATCATATACCATGATTCCACAACATCTGAAACAAGTAGACAAACATACACACGAATATTTTGTCACGCTAGATGTTCACCAACAGCATTCTGAAAATTCTTCAAGAAGGCTTTAAAGCATTTCAGCTTCCGTATGCAGCCATTTCTTCAGAGACAGTTTTGTATGATAGACACATGCCTTGTCAGGCTGGAGACAGAAATCTCCCAGTTAGGCACTCGGTGCAATGATTTTAAGGTGAAAGAGATAAATTGGATAAAGATTGTAGCACTCTGGAAAGTCTTTGGAATTGGGATAGATTTTGAGAGTACACCCACACAACTTGCAAATGAACTGGCCACAGAGGTGAAGAGGAGAGAACAAAGGTTGCATCCTGGGTTTTTCGCCCGGGAAGTTGGGTGAGTTATAATTTCATTCCCTGAAATGTAAGCATGTGGGGAAGAAATTAAACATCCTGTGCTGTACAGCATACATTTGAGGCGTAGACATCCAGTTTGAAATATCAAAGAGGAAACACTTGTGTCTACATTGGGGTGCTCAGGGAAACTGAGAGATGAAGTTAAACATATGGGAGTTATTGGCTTTTAGAAGGATTTCAGGGCTGGATATGATTATAGAGAGAATGAGGGTACAGAACGGGGGATTTCAGAAACCTGGACCCTCCCCTGTGAAGGGCTGGAGGAGTGACCGAAGGACACAGGAAGGATAAACCCTGGAGATGGAGAGAACCAGGAGGTGAGAGAGGCACTGAAGGATAAGAGAAAGGAGCCTCTCCCAAGGGTCCAAGGCTGAGGGAGTTCAGACAAGAAGGAAAGAGCACCCACGTGACAACGGGCCAGAGCTCAGCCTGCAGTCACCCTAGAGTGCCCTGAGGAGCCAGGGTCTCTGGACACAGGCTTTGACCCTCTCTGAAGCATTCACCCTGAGGTGTGGCCCACTGTCATGTCAGGTGCTCCACATGGGTGCAGGGGTGTCAGGTAGGGTCCAAGCACATGTTAGAGACTCTCGCTTGACACTGCACAGAGCTCGCTCTGGAAATTTCAGCAGTGCCTGTGAGCTTGTAGATATTCAGAATCCCAAGCTCTACCCAAGACTTCTGGATCAGAACCCAGATTTTAACCAGGTATCTAGGCGATTTGTGAACAGAGAAACTGAGTTACTCTCCACTATAACAAAGGCAGATGTGAGATAAAGGATTACTTTTTAAAAGACAAGGCCTAATGCAACAGATTTATACACTGATTAAAATAGTCTTTCAAAGATGCGAAGCTTTCATGATGATGCAGAAAATCAGATAAGAGAGAGTGACCTGAAGAAGACAAAGTAGATGGGATTTGGGATAAAATGGAGAGATGGCCCTGTGTAGGACAGCAGGAAGACAGGACAGAGGACAGGCAGGCCTCGGGGCAGAGAGGGCTCACTGGTGATGGGAGATGGAGGTAACCTCCTCCTTTGTTCTCAGAAGGACAGGACATAGGATCGTCAACTGAGAATAAGAAGGAAAGTTGATGTTAAGAGGTTTAAGAAAAATTAAATTTGAACCAGCTTTCCTGTAAAGGAAATATGGAAAATTATTGGGCAGTGATAAGAATTTATTTAAAAATTCATGATCATAAGACCAGTCAGAATAATGACATACTTTTATCCACTCACATTACATTATTCAGGCATAGGCACAAAATAGACCGAGAATTGGACTTGAATAGTGTCAGGTCTCTGCCAAGCCAATATAGACATAATGAGTAAGGAGGGGCCCCGGGAGCTATCCTGGGAGAACAGACAGGTTGCCCTAGGAAAGGGTCGGGTTGAGGCTTCAAGATCTTAGTGCCATCAGAGAACATAGGGTTGGGGGTCAGGGTGGGACTGGAAGATTTAACAAAAATACTAGATGCCCATTTCCATTTGAATTTTAGAATAAAAATGGCTAATATTTTAGTATAAATGTACCCCATGTGTTACAGGGATCTATTTATTCTTTAAAAAGTCAGAGACTATTTATCTGAAATATAAGATTACCTTGACAACCTATGTATAATAGTGTCACCTACCCCAAGAAAAATGAGTTGTAAAAATTGGGGGTCATTATCTGAGAACCAAAGTCTTCAGAGTAAGAGAGAAGGGAAGCCTAGGGGTTGACCACGCCCATAGGGGATTATCTTAAGAGGGCTGAAAGGAATGGCCCAGGGACTAAAAGGGCTATGAGGGAGTCACCTTGACCATACTAACTCTGTGAGGGAGTGAAAGCTAGCAGCCATGAACCAGTGATGGATCAGCACTTGAGAGGAGAGATCGGACACTTTATATACAGGTCCAACATGGTGCCTGGGCTCCAAGGAGAGGTAGCTACTGATACGGTATGGTGACACCCAGTCCACTGCAGTCTGGGTTTTTAGGGAAGGAGGACAAAGAAGTAGACAAAGTTGGCTCAGTGCAACCAGGAACAAGGATGTCTTTCCTTTATCCAGACATTTGTGAGACTGGAGAAGAACTGAGGATATTGCTTGAGAGAAGAAGCAGGGTATGTGGGGAAGGGCAGGCTCCACTTGATCATGGCATTCAAGCTGAGAGAAGCCTTTAAAGAGGACTCTGCAGTTAGCATCCTATGAAGCACATAGTAAGGTTTTGGAAGGTGAGAGACCCAGGGATGTTCAACCTCATGGGGATGCTGGCCAGCATGGTGCCAATGGAGGACTAGCTTCTCCACTGAGGTCAGTGAGGATGGATGGAAGGCCAGGTGGGCTGCTCACAGAGGTCAGTTAATGGGAGACAGGCTGTCAGTCATTTTATGGATTAACCTCAAGGTGGTTGGTGATGGTGGGCAGGGGCACATTCATCTCCACCTGGGGAAGACAGGGGACCCACAACACCTCTACATGTCCTGGAGGGGAGCACTAGCAGTTCACCTCTGCCTATCCAGATTTACCACATTCAGCCTTGTGTTGACTCCCATCCTGCTGGCGGAGAGGGTGGAACTAGTTCACGACAGGGTCAGACTCTGACCCTACAGAGGCAGCAGGGTGAGGGTCTTTATGTGGGCCCCACCCATATGCAACTTCCCGCCAGCCCACAGAGCCTCAGCCCTAGGAAGAAAGGGTCCACAAATTACACACAAGTCCCTAATTGGTTAATCAGAAGGCACAGGAATCAAAACTTTTTAGGGGAAAACAGAGTCATTTGTAGGAGTAAATGCCTGAATCAAGTAGGGAGGGAAAGGAGAATGGAAAGCAAGAATAACCCAGGCTGGGATCCTCTCCCCAGCCCTATTGGAGATGAGCTGGACTCAGAGATGCCGTGTCCAGGTGACCAGGGTTTTGTCTCGCTCCTCCTTGGCCTCTTTCCTGTACCACTGAACACACCCACATTTGACAGGGCCTGACAAATCCCCGAGGGGCCTGTGGGCTTTCTGTTCCAGACGAGACTTCTGGAACTGAGTGTCCTTTCTCAGACAAACACAAAGTCATTTGATCCTCACTCACCGCATGGAACTGCAATTTCTCAGACAAAATAAATCACTTAAAATTGGCTTTGACCGGTAAGCTGGAACCAAGCCGTTTTCTCCTCTTCTTTCCTCCTTTGGAACCTAGATGTACTATAATTAAGGCCATTACCAGCCACTAGAGTTGGGGAGGGGGACACACGTAACAAGCAGAGGTGGTGGAAGGGGCTGAAATTTCAGAATCGCGCCACCAGCAGACAAAGCTTAGAAAATAGTTGCTGGTTTCAAGGATGTTTGGCTAATAATTTTCTTTTGAACACAGAAAAGGTTTTCCTTCAGGACTTATACCTGGTCTTCACTGATTTTAGAAATCATGAGTTCAAGCAGTTTCTAAAATTGACTTTTCTGCTCTACTCAGTTTTATAGAGAAACCATCTGCAGCTGTGTACAGTTTACATTATATTTTGTTCTATTTTTGAGGTAGTGGCAATTGGACCCAGGGCCTCACACATACCAGGCAAGCGCTCTACTGTGGAGCTACATGCTCAGCCCTAATTTGCATTTTTAATGGGAAATACAGTTAAGGCTGGGTCATGTGACTTGCCCTTTGATCACCAGGGTTTGTGTCCATCTATGAATGTGCTGCCTTCCCATCATCCCTGTCCAGGCCTGAACAATGTTTACACAGGTGCTGGTGGACACAGTTAGTTTACACTACCCAGTCTTCTCTGCGTGCCAGCAGCTGTGGAGATGCAGAGCCCTGTTTCTTGGTGTTCGGAGATTCCAGACACAAAGGACCAAAGAACAAAGACAGTGGCTGGGCCGCCAGACGTCTGAGCACTCTGAGGAAGGATTCACCTTAGCACTCTTGCCATTACATATCCAACATCAAACCAACATAAAATGTCTCTTTCCTCTCCAAGCACAGGTCCACGGTTTTCACTTTTGAAATGCAATCTTCTTTATACTCCAGCATTTTGACTTCATCAGGCAATTGAAGGAAAAACTTCGATCCATCCACATATAAGCACTTCACTGGCAAATTATTTGTGTGGAGTCTATAAAGGGAGGGGTGCATTAGAAAAGGCAACCAGGGGTAACTTCTGCATCTGATGTTTGACACACACACTGATTTCTAGTGAACACACGACTGAATCACAGAGCTGGCTGATTGGTAAGCAGAAGGTGTGCTAACAATTACACCTTATTTTCTACATGATGGAAAAGGTGATGATAAATGAGTTGCTTCTATCTACTTGCAGCATGTTTTCTGTATTACACTACAGAATCAGATAGAAAATTGTGTTCATCTTTGGATACCTGTGGTGCAGACCACTAGAGGGGTGGAATTCTGAAGGCACTGTGTAGATCATAACAGGCAAGTTCTGGCCTCTGTTGACATGTGACTATGTGGTTCCACTTTTTGTGTACGTCCACTTCCGCCAATGTGTCATTCTCTACAAAAAGAAGAGAGAGGCTGCTTTGCCATGGTGCCTATTGGAGACAGCCTTCAGACTGGTCACCTTCTGACCCAAACAAACACACTGCACACCATCCCCTGCCTCCAAAGAGCATGTACACCCACTCCTCCCTCCGATAAACATCCACGTCTGTCACCTTCTACCTTCAAAGAATGCTCGTCTTTGTGTTTTTCTGACTTAAATAACCAAAACTGAACTTTAAGTGTAACTGCCACATCTTTAAATGTTTGACAAAGTCCTCTGCTTTCCTTAATAATGACAGAAAGAGACACATGACTTTTATACTTGGATCTGTTTTTAAACTGCAACCACCACTCAGTAGCTATATGATCATAGAAAAGTCTTTTAGCTTCTCTGATACTCAGTCATTCATGCTCTCAGATTGAGAGTAGTACTTGCCTTATGAGGTAACTGTAAGAACTGAGAAACTGGATAAAGAATGCATAGTACATGATCACCCTAAGACTTCAGTTTGTGCTCCTTTACCACGGCTAACTTCATCCCTTTTAAGTTCCTAGGGCTGCCATAAAAAATGACCACAAACTTGGTGGCTTAAAACAACAGAAATGTATTCTTTCACAGACATTCTGGAGGCTCAGAGTCAAAACTGAGCAGTCAGCACTGCCACGGTTTCCTGGAAAGCTCCGGGGAAGGATGCTTTGATGCCACCTCTCAGCTCGGGTCTTCCTGCAGCTCTCCACTCTCCCTGGCCTGCAGCTGCACTGCCCCACGCTCTGCTCATCTTCACAGGGCCATTTCTCTTGTGCTTCTCTGGGTGTCCTTTTCCCTTCTCAGAAGGACGGTATTCATCAGACTGAGGACCTCCTCTAAGCAGTGGAACCTCATCTTAACCACACAAAAACTAAATTTCCGAGGAAAGCTGCACTCTGAAATTCCAGGTTGCTGTGAATTCTCATAGGACACTATGTAATCCACTATAGCAACTTCCAGCTGCTGTAACTTGTGTGGAAGGGCATAGGTTTGTTTCTCCTTAAAGTTCCAAAGTGTTCCCAAAGTTTTGACATCTTATGAACACTCACTAAAATGCTCATTATTTTTTTGTGTGTAATTTAAGAAATGTGCAATTTGACAGTTTCATCATTATTAAAGATGAACTATTCTTGTGTTCTTATGGCACAAAAGGTACAGAACATTCTTCACACCTGCCTGCCGTGCTTTGGGCTCCTTGGACAGGTGGCTGCCTGGCCTGGACAGCATGGTCAGGTTACAGGCTTGCAGGGGGCTTGGGGAGACTTCCAGTCCTGTGACCTGTGAGCACTGCTGTCACTTTCAGGATATGTCTTATCTTGAAACTGTGCTCCAGGAACAAATCATAAGAGTTGAAAGTTTTCACCTTCCTTCTTTAACTATAAATTAGTGCTCTTTAAAAATAGGATTCGGAGCTAGGTGTGGTGGTGCACACCTGTAATCCCAGCACTCAGGAGGCTGAGGCAGGAGGATCACTGTGAGTTCCAGAGTTCAAGGCCAGGCTGAACTGCATCATGAGACCCTGTCTTGAGAAAAAACAAAACAAAACAAACAAATCCAATATCTAAACCAACATTTCAATAACTGAGCAAAATTTAGTGTTATTAATATCTTTGTAAGTGTAACAATTTCTAATGAAAAGCACTTAATGTCAGCTATAGACTTTTAAGAGAAGGATCTTGGTTATTTACTTCAATTCTCTTGAGTTATAAATGAGAAAACTGATTTATTAATGAGATATCTTGGCTTTAAATGAGGACTTTCATGAGGTTACACAACTAGTTTCATAACTGCATAAACCACATTAATATTCAACATCTGGTTCTGAATTCTTTGGGGTTTTTTTTGCTCCAAACCAATATCAGATGTACAGATTAGATTTTATAGAATTCTTCATACTCGTTTCATTGATTGAGAAGACTTTTTTTTTTTTTTTGCTAAACCTCTCAATCTTTTCCTAGCACTATCCAGAATTCTTACAGGAAACTATTTATTTCTTTCCTTTGAACTCATGCCCTTCACAGTGAGCTACATCCCCAATCCTTTTTAATATTTTTGTTTTGAAACAGGGTCTCTGCAGTAGCTACATCAACCCAGGCTGGGCTTGAATTCACTATCTTTCTTTTTTTTGGTACTGGGGATCAAACTCAGGACCTTGTGCTTGCAAGGCAGGTGCGGTGCCACTGAGCTAAATTCCCGACCCTGAATTCACTGTCTTTCTGTCTCAGCCTCTCAAAGTGCTGGGATGCAGGTACGCACCACCGAGCACAGCTTACAGGGAACTAGTTCTTAAATTATGTTTAAATTAGAAGTCCTTTGTTAAGCCAGTTTTTCAAGGAGGTTTTTGTGTTAAACAGAATATTCATTCAGAGGTTTTCACAGGAAATGTAGCTGCAAATTAAATTCATCCAATCTTGGTTTTTCCTGTATACTATAATCTTTCTATAAGCTTGAAAATCTAGAAAACACTAATGATATAGAATCATAAAGATTTTTTCTTTAGACCCAAATCAACCTTAAAGTAATGTATCTCATTTGGAAAAATATACTGTCCTTCGGTATAATGACCAAGTGTCTTTCTTTCCTAAGTGCCTGTGGCAGAGTCATTTTTAATAGATACACTCACCTGTGGAAGAGTTTCAGAAACCATTTGGAGTCTTCCATAATCACTCTTGAGTAGCAATAACAGAAGTCAATATAGCGCCATAAAAAGGAACTTGTTAGCATGTAGCTCTAGAGCACCTGCTAAAGTATAGGCCTCCCCTTATTTATTGGGTAAACGAAGACGAGAAAGAGATATAATAACTGCTCCAGGATGCCTAGTCATGGTGTTATGAACTAAGTGTTTGTGCCCCTCCTCCACTAATATCTCAAGGCTCTAACCCCATGTGGTGGTATAGGGGAGACTTTGGGAGATGTTGAGTTGAGATGAAGGAAGGAGGAAGGGTAGGGTCCTATGATGGGATTAGAGTCCTTGTAAGAAGAGAAAGAGGAAAATGAAAACATGGAGAAAAGACCATGTGGGAACAAGCAAGGAAGTGGCCATCTGCAAGAGAGGAAGAGGCTTTTCACCAGGAAATGAATTGATCAGCACCCTGATACTGGATATTTTGGACTGCAGAACCAAGAGAAATAAATGTATGATGTTTAAGTCACTCAATGTACTATGCTTTGTTATGGCAACCCAAGCTAACTAAAATCAGCTCATGAACCAGTCATTAAAATGTACTGAGTTCAGTAAGGAAAGCGAGAACAATTACAGCATAGACAGAGACAAGGAGTGTTGAGAAAGCTTCTACACGTAAGTTGACCTTGGTCCTCTCCCTAGGAAGGGCAAAGAGAATACACTGTATGAGATGTGACTAAAACATATGGTGAATGTTAAAAATGCATTACAGTAAGAGACACACTGCCACTGATCTCCCTGAGAATATCTGTCTCTGATCCCTCACTTCACACACACTTATCTCATTGTTCCTGCACTTTCTGGACCAGCTCTAAGTCCTCTTTCATGAGTGTCCTTATAAGCTGCGATCAAAAGTATTGTGGACGCTGCTGCCAAGCGACACCCAGGGAAATGTCAGGTTTGTAAAAACATGACGCTGTGTCCTCCTCCGCCTTATTTACTGGATCTGGCACTGTGAGACTTTTGCTTTTCCCCCAAAGCAAAATGACCATGAAAGGGAGATGATTTGAATCAGTTAAGGACACAGGCAGCCAGGATGGCTCAACTAAAGACACTCAGCAAAGAAACTTCCAGAGCTGCTTCAGAAAATAGCAAGGACTGGAGGGTCCGTGTTTGAACTGGGGGAAGGGTTTGAGGGTGATCAATGTCAATGTGTCTTTACTGTAATTTGTAAATTTAAACATTCACCGTATGTTCTGATCATACTTGGTATTTTCTTGGAAGTACGGACATAAATGTTACACCGTGAAAGGCTGAGGTTCCTGAAGGTCGTGCCCGCTCATAGCTCATTTATTTTACCATTGAAAAGGCTTTTATCGCTTCTTTCCCCGGTGTAGGCATGAGTAGGCACAAGGCATTTCTGCCGTAGTGAATCATTCGGTACTAAGATTTAGAACTTGATTGGTTTCAAAGAAGTCATTGTCCCAGGGCATGTCACCAGCCAGGAAAGGGGGGCCTCCGTTTGGGGACATCTGCAGGCTGGGGCCCTGGGAAGTAAGTGTGCAGAGAGCAGAGTGAAGACGTGGGCAGGGTCTCGACTGTCTGAGATCCCTGGGCCTCACATGTGCCTGAGGAGCTCAGGAGGTGGACACCTTTCCAGCCCAATGCGTCCAGGAGCTGTAGTTTTTTCCTAAGCTCCCTCCAGGGCTAATTTAGACATCAAGATCCAAATCCCAAAATGACTTAAGAGTAAACTAAAACAAGGCATTAATAGTCAAAGGAACTATGTTCAAGTTCATTGATTATTAGTTTTCTATTGCTATGCTTCTAGATTACCAACGAACCAACAGCCGACAGTAGCCCACCTTTCTTATCTTTTTCATTTTGGTAATGTTTGATAAAGACAACTGAAAAGCTACCTGCTCTCTTGTTGTAAAGGGTAGATGACCTCCAAGCCTGTGTCAACGTCAATAAGATTCTATTATCCAGAGCAGTGATACCGCAGGCAAAGAGAACTCTCACCAGACTGCAGAATAATCATACTTCAGTGTTAGAAACCTCCTTTGCTTCAGGGTCCCTTTGAATGTAAGTATTTATATGGAGAGATTTAAAACCAACATACACCTGAGAAGGTATCAGAAACACAAACTATAAAACTTAGCTGCCATTGTCACCAATGTCACCCTCGCAGCCATTCCCACCACCAACATCCTCCCGGTGAGCAGACTGAGTCTAACGGCAGCTGTTGCTCTGCTGCAAGGGTGCTGTTCCGTTTCCCAGGGCTTCTTGTCGTCGCCCTTCTCCTGGTCAGTTCTACACAATTCCCGCCATCTGTAAGCTCATCCTCAGCCCTGAACCAGCTCCACTGGCAGCTCCCCCACTCCAGCTTTGCCCCTTCCTCTCTCTTCTCACTTTCCCTCCACAATGGCCTCTGTCTCTGGATTTTCAAGAACACAGCTTTCCCAAAGGCATATATTCCAAAGCCATTCCTTTTTTACTCGTCAATAGGACATTCACCTTAGCTATCCTGCATGAATGACATATTTCTGATTGACTTTAATAGTATCCCTCAAAAATAAAATTTTGAAACCAGGTGCATAGATCCTTTTTCATTATGAAAGGTAGGATATAAGTGGCCCCGTGTGAAAGAGGTAGACACATCCTGAAGTCCCTCCAATCTTACAAGGAACACACCAAGCCTCCCTGTCACCTGCCGCTGTCCTCAGCCCTCAGGGAGGTGAGGAAATGGTAAGCTGAAAGCTGAGGACCTCCGCGTCAGGACCCACGGGGTAGAAGAGAAGGCAAAGGCTTAAGCTCCTTTCCCCCATAGAAGTCCTCTGCTAGCCCAGAGGAGAAGGCATCGAAAGACTTCCTTTGTAACAATTTGGGTTACTGTGGGCTTTTGGTCTGCTGATGTAAGGCTGGAGGAAAATGTCAGGGAAGGGGGAGGTGGCAGGGAAGCAGCTGTACTGCTACCATTTCATGGCACCAGGACAACTGGGTTTCCCCAGTGGGAAGCACATTGGCTTAGGTTGTCATTCCAAATGATGGCAGCATTCACAAGAGGCCAAGGGAAGCAGAGCTGAGGCTACTGGAAGTACCATCTCCCAGGCAAGGGAAATGTGCAGTGAGACTTCTGAAGCATCCCTGGAAACCAGTACCACTGTGGAACAAGCTTGTGTGCTGGCAGGTGCTGGCCACAAAGATGGCCTCCTGTGTCCATGTGGGTTACCCAGGAAGCAAAGCACACACAGAGGAGGCTACCACTTCCCTGTCTGCCTGCCCGCTCGCCCCTTCTTAGTTGCCAGCCTGGGAATGGAAAAGGGGATGTCTGAATGTTCACCTTTCCCCAACATTTTTGCTATCGGGAATAAAAGACTTAGGCCAAGCATGGATTTCTGGGTTGTATTTATAGTACGTAATCCTGGCAAGGGCACAAAATATTGCCAGACTAGGAAGTGGACTCCTCCCAATTCACAAACCCTGTTACAGCAGAAGTGCCAACCTTCATGCTTCCCCCTTTCTCTAATACCTCCAAACTAGCCCGCAGTCCTGCTTATTCAGCCTCTGGTACAGTTCAATCAGGAAAATCTCTGGCAGGGAAAGCAGCCCAGGGCAGGATCTGAGGGGCAAAACAGATGCTGGAATGTTACCGGCAGTGGCCATAGTGACTCACTGAAGCATTCGGCATCACCTGTGCCTCCAGGATGAAGTGTCCTCAGTTCAGATGGCGTTCTACTTCTTTGACTAAATCATCTAGGAAATTGTGATATTCTCTTTTCAACTAACCAGCTCCGGAGTATACTACCTGTAAAATATTCTTTTTAATGTCATTGACTTTGTTCAGGAATAAGAGTTTCTCTAAAACACCTTCTGCATTTGA